CTCCAAAAATTAATGTTAGAACCTACCCCCCAAGGTGATGGTATTAGGAGGTGGGGCGTTTTGGGGGGTGATTAGGTCATGTGGGTGGAGCCCTCATGAATGGGATCAGGTCCTTATAAAAAGGACCATGAAAGCTCCTTCGCCCCTTCGACCATGTGAAGTAACGTCGAAAAGACGGCTGTCTTTGAACCAGGAAGAGGGCCCTCACCAGACACCGAATCGGCTGGCACCTTGATCTTGGACTCCTCAGTCCCCAGAACAGAGAAAACTAAATGTTTGTTGTTTATAAGCCACCCAGTTGATGGTATTTTTGTTACAGCTGCCCAAATGGACTAAGACACAGAATTCACATGCCTCTGACTTGAACAAAGTGACTAAAAAATTAATTCTGGTCACCAAAAACTTGCTAAAGTAACATCTTTAAATGAAAGGTTTGTTTCTTGGCAACAAACACTACATCAACCTTTTTGTGTGCTTCGGTCATGAGGTCCTGGAGAGAGCCTTGGTTCAGAGACTCGGGGTCCGGATCTAAGCGCAGGAATCACAGCTCTCTGTGTGGCCTGGGGCCCACCCTTGGCCATCACAAACCTCAGTTTCTCTGTCTGCAAGTAATAATCAGAGAGAGGAAGGCAAGATATTCAGCAGACTATAATCTTTGATGCAAGCGTGTCCTGTAAGTATTGGTGGAATAATTTGGTCATTTCCCAGGCACCAATCAGGAACAGTTACAGGGGATCACCAAGAAAAAGCCCCAGACACTGAGCACAATTATAAGGCTCTGGCCTTTTTGCTGGAACAATTAACGAGGAGAGAATGACACCGCTATTCTTAATCATGACTACTACAATGAGCAACNGGGATCACCAAGAAAAAGCCCCAGACACTGAGCACAATTATAAGGCTCTGGCCTTTTTGCTGGAACAATTAACGAGGAGAGAATGACACCGCTATTCTTGTTCACTCCTCCCCCCACTCCGTGTTTAAAATCCAGCTTGTGCGCCCTGTCTGGTTTGGCTCAGTGGTTAGAGCATTGGCTCGTGAACTGTCCCAAGGTCTATTCTGGCCAAGGGCATGGACCTCAGTTGCAGGCTCGGCAACCAGCCTACGTGTCTCTCACATCGATGTTTCCCTCTCTCTCTGAAAAGCAATGGAAAAAATATCCTCGGGTGAAGGCTTAAAAAAAAAAATCCAGCTTGTGTACTTTCTCGGGGGTTGTCAAACCAACCCGGCCAAATCCAGCCTGCCACCTGCTTTTATAAATAAAGTTTTATTGGAACACAGCTATGCTCATTCATTTATGTATCATTATCTGTAACTGTTTTTGTACTATAGTGATAGAGGTGAGAGGTTGTGACAGAAACTGTATGGCCTATAAAACCGAAAATGTTTACTATCTGGCCCTTTAGAAAAAGTCTGCTGACCCCCCTAGTCTTTGATACACTTGTCTCAAGAAATGGGTTAGGGAGAAGCTGTTGGAAGCTGTATATGGATTTCACTAAGAGTTTACAATCTACCCTAGGAAAAGATATAAAAAGGGTAGGAAGTCATATGTCTGTTGTCAGGAATTCTTCAGTGGGACAAAATTTTGCTACTTAAAAAAACCTTGATTTAAAAAGGAGGGAGGAAGGGGAAGAAACGGGAAAGAAGACCCCCTTCCCTTGCTGGGCGAGTAGCCCTCAGAGCAGTCAGCTGTGGGCTAGAGGAAGACCCTTGGTGATTCTCCTCCCAGAGCCCCCCACTCTTTATCACAATATGATGCATCAGCAATGCTAAGGGCCAGGCTGGCTGGGAACTGAGATTCCACCCTGAGGCAGAGGTTAGATAATACCTAGATACTGAACACTGTATTTGCTAAAATATAGTGTGTGAAACCCTCTAAACAGTTCCCATCTCTTGATGACCAGAAATTTCTCTCTTGCCAAGGTTAAAAAGAATCAAAGTATGGTCTACTCCAGGTAGAGAAGGTGCCTCCACGCTGGCGGAACCCTAGAGCATACCACGAGGTAGGTCTTCTTTCCATACTTCTAACGTGGTCATGTTAATTGTGAACATAAAAAAATCTTTCCAAATACTCATCTTGACAAATAATTCATTATATTCACCCAGACAGAAAATAAATTCTTAACTATATTGAAATAGATTTCAACATAGAAAAAAAGCACAATCAGCCCAGTTGGCATGGCTCAGCAGCTGCGCATCGACCTGTGATCCAGAAGATCTCAGTTTGATTCCTGGTCAGGGCACATGCCTAGGTTGTGGGCTCGATCTCTAGCAGGGTNATCTCAGTTTGATTCCTGGTCAGGGCACATGCCTGGGTTGTGGGCTCGATCTCTAGCAGGGGTTATGCAGGAGGCAGCCGATCAATGAATCTCATCTCTAATGTTTCTCTCTCTCTTCCTCTCTCTAAAATCAATAAAATATATATTTTTAAAAAGAAAACACAATCAGCAGTTTTTTATACAGTAAATAAACTTTATTTATCTGCTCGAGATGACATTGCCAACAGTCACAGGTGTGCATACAATAGTTATGTATTGACTATTTACAATTTACAGTAGTATTTTTTCCTCTGAAAAATATAAGTACAAAAGCTAAGTAAACAATGAGGTACTGCAGTTTGGATTTCTCATGTGTCATAACTTAAAGAACTAGTCTTTAGTAAATATTCAACAAATCAATCTGGATAAAATAGTCAATTCAATGCTCTAATTGATCAGAAAAAATCCACTAAGTTTCACCTCAAAATGTATTGCACAAGTCTTTTTTAAAAATCACTCTAAAAATAAATAGAAAAGGTAAGCCATTCTTTTAAAAGGGACAAACAGAATGGAAGAAAGGAACATTAAGTGAGCCCATAAATCAGATTAAGTTATTTAAAAATTTTAAACAACATAAAACTCTTCCCAACAACAAAGAGAAGCAGCAACTATCACCATTCCCCACGGGTACCGCCTATTTTAAGGCCGCCTGCGATATAAACGCGGGCCGATGCTGGCCTTGTCCCGGTCTTCTGGCTGCATGAAGAGCNAAGCAGCAACTATCACCATTCCCCACGGGTACCGCCTATTTTAAGGCCGCCTGCGATATAAACGCGGGCCGATGCCGGCCTTGCCCGGTCTTCTGGCTGCATGACCGGAACAGCTTTTCTCGAAGAGCAGCAGCGTGCAGCCTTCCAACGCCGCCAACATGGCTCCCCTGTCTCTTCAGGATGAAGGCCGGAGCCATGACTGGGAAAGAAAAAGGAGGACAGAGAAAAACACCCCTAAAGCCAGCTTTTTGGGACATCAGTTGTTTCAAGTTAAAATTAAATTTTATTCTTTGGCCTGGGGACTGAAGTAGAACTGTTCTAAGGATTAAATCCTATGGAAATCTTCTAAAAATACTGTCCTTGGAATGATCTGCCCTGGAGTCAGCAATCCTGACAAACAGGATTTGTAAGTGACACTGAAGCCGTAACCTTCACCAGGAGCTGGACGCTCCCATGTCACAATCAGAGAAAGCCTGGAGCCACCGTGCTGACTCCGCAGAACTTCTCCAGGACGCAGCAATCCAAGCTGGATTCACAGGGGAGCGAGTTCTTCCCTCGCCCTAATGTGTGATTTTCCTACATATTGCAGTACCCCGGGATGAGATGTGAGGCAGCAGAGGGGAGAAAACAGCACTTTGGTGTAGAAAGCTATGCCTCACCTAAAATTAACAAACTTAATTTTAAAAACTCAAAACGTTATGAGAAACGAAGCTAAACCTTCCTAATAAGGTTTCCTGATTAAAATGCTAAAATCTCAAGTATAAGGTCAAGCACGAGGTTTAAAAAAATGCCATAAAAATAAATTACCGAGTAAGATTAAGTAATAGCAACAAACTTTCATATACCTTTAGTGGAAAGGGAAAGTTTAAGTCTTTCCAATTTGTAAATGAACAATAGAATCCACTACTTATGATGTACTTCAAATAGCATATGACTTATGAAACTAGCTCAATGATCATGTTGGCCCTAGAAAGCTAGACAAGATAAGAAAAAAACCTTCTCTTACATTTACATTCCCATGTCAGCTATTATTTCAAAACCTTAGCTTGAGCTGTCAGGGGAAGAAATTCATGCACGACCGATAACAAATGTCAATGTCATGAAAGACAAAAAGGCTGGGAGAAGTTTTCTGTTTAAGGGAGAGACTAGAAAACCATGACAACAAACTGCAATGTGCAATCTTTGAATGGATCCTGGAATTTAAAATATGAAAGACATTATTTGGAAAACTGGGAAAACATAAGTATTTACTATATACAAGACAACAGTATTATGTTACCATCAAATTTCCTGAGAGTGATTATTGTATTATGAATATATAGAAAAAGCCCTTGTTCTTAAAAATATTTGCTAAAGTATGTCGTTTATGTTTGCTAACAACTGTCAAATGTTACAGAAGGAAAATACACATGGAGAGAGTGTGAGAGCAAGTGAAAAAATTTGGCAAAATGCTAATAATTGGTGAATATAGGTGAGGGTATATAAGTGTTTATTGTACTATTTTTGCAAATCTTATGTTTGAAATTTTTCAAACTAAAAGTTGAGGAGACAATCAATCAATCAATAGAAATGTGACACAGTAATCATTTCCAGTGATTAATGACAGTATTTAAATGCAATAATATAGCAAGAATAATGCTATATATTATTAAAAGGAAAATTTAAGACTTACTGAGTTTGATATGGGATTTACATGACTAAAGACAATTCTAGACAAGTTAATTGATATATATTAAAATCAAAATGAGACAAATGTAGGCATAAAGGATTTTTAAAGTTAAATGGTTTTTAAAAATGCTGTATAGCCCAGCCGGGTGTGGCTCAGGGGTTGAGCGTTGACCTAAGATCCAGGCAATCAGGGTTCGATTCCCGGTCAGGACACAAGCCCGGGTTGCGGGCTCAATCAATGACTCTCTCATCATTGATGTTTCTATCTCTCTCTCTCCCTCTCCTTTCCTCTCTCTGAAATCAATAAAGATATATGTTTAAAAATAAAAAAAATAATAATAAATAATAAAATAAAAATGCTGTATATTGGCATTTTAAACCTTGATACTGTTAGCTGAATACCAGCCAAATTAACAATCACAGAAAATCTTTAATTATAATTAAGCTCTATTAATTGTGATCCAGGTTATTTGTGATTTCTGAAAATTCTAGCAGTAACAGGTAAAAATATACCCTAAATTTTTAGGGGGTGCTAAGTCAAGCTAATAGCATGAATAATACGTGGAGGTGATTGGAGGGGTGTTTAAGTAGTAAAGACAGTCAACTGCTTCGAAGTATTTTAGATGCCTCCACTTCACTGTAGTAACACGGTAATTAGAAACAGCCACCTTCAATTAAAGCTGGCTGCCTAAGGGTCTCCACAGGACAAATGTGTTATTTGGTTAAACTGTATGATCTTAGGAAATAATAAAAACTGCATTTATTTTTAAATCAGCTTTACTAGTTTTCAATATTTCAGACTAGCCTTGACTCCAAGTAGGCTTTTACAATATTTTAAATTCTGGATTTGTGAAACATATCACTTCACTTTTACCTAGAAAATGATTTTTCATCTCTCTCTCACAATCTTTATTGACTTCAAAGCACATTCTTAGGAAGCAAAAAACTGAAAGGAATATAAAATACATAATTTTTTTTTTGATTTTTAAACAAAATTTCAAAGAGCAATTCTGAAACTTCCAAGTACTATTTAAAGGACTAAAATTTCCTAAAATTATATCATCTCATTGGTAGTGGTGATTATTAATCTATATATTATTAATCTATAAAACAATTAATGGAAAATACTTATATTAACCCATAGCAAAATCATATGTTCATTAAACAAAAAAGCAAAAGAATTCCAGCGAAATGGTTAATATCATGCAACACACATGATTTTTGCACAGAAGACACAGACATGATTCTTCACTCACCACATGCTAACTAAGCACAGACTGATGGTTACTCAGAAGATACCACTGCGAGGTGAAGTGTACTACAAAGCCAGGAAGAAAAAAAGCTTATTGGGTTAGTTTTAAGACTTAGTATAACACAAAGATTATATGTGTATATGTACTTCAAAGGATTGAACAGATTGTACTTAAATTTTTCTCTAATCTCCCCAAATCAAGGAAGTATAAGCAAAGTATAAGAAATCTGTAATACCTCCCTCCTATCCTGAGTAAATATAACACTAGGTAGCTGAGATTTTTACTTGTAACTTTAATTTAAAAATTTAAACAACATAATTAAAGATGTACTTCCCATTTTAAGTACATACTTATATGCTAGATTAATTAGTGTATATGATTATTTGCTTTATAAAAAGATTTCTTTCATAATTCCATTAATGAACACATTCAAATTAGATTTACATAATCTCAGTTGACCATCGAAACGGGAAAATGCTGATGAACATGACCACAGTCTACCTATGTCAAACTGTCACTCCTAATACATGTCAAGTTTATCACTGAGTGGTTCTCCTGTAATTCAATGGTACATCAGGAATGAGGACACACCCAACATTTCCAGTCAAAGGGACCCAACTTCAAACACAGTTTTGATACAGCAACCTTTTTAAATAAATTCTATGTCCTGTTTTAAGATGGTCATAACCCAAGATTATTAATTAGCTCCCTGGTTTGCTTTAAAACAGCATCAGCAAAAATAGGTGCAAGTTTATAAAATCTGAGTCTATTCTTGGATAATGTGACCAACCTCAGAAGTATCACTTTATTTTTTTATATTTAATATAAGTTAGTAAAAAGCAGTAAAATCAAAAGGCAAACTAGAAAATAATATTTGCAACACACACAACACAATGAGGTTAACATCCTATTGGAAAACCTGCAAAATATATGTATATGGACGTTCCCCTGTGTCTAGGCTTGTAAGTACTGAGAAACTGGAAACCACCTGAGTGTCCATGAATAGGAAATTGGTGAACTAAACTGTAGGACATCCATATAATCATACAGTTAGCCATTAAAAAGTCTGAGGTAGATCTACTCATAATGAGGAGGCATAATATAAAAATATAGGTGAAAAAAAGCAAGCTGTTGCCTACTCTCATTTTTATAAAATAATTAACTGATGAAGGAATAATTATCAATATATTAATAAAGCTTAGACAACCCTGGGACAGTTACCACACTACTAACAAAGATGACCTTGGCACGGTGGAAATACCTGGGAGGCTGGAGATCATGAAGACCTCCCTTTCTGCGTAATGTTTCTGAATTATTTACAATGTGTTTTGATCATTTACAATGATCACTTATTATATAATTCTAAAAAAAAAATCAAGAGTCAAAACTACTTTCAAAACAACAAATCCATATTTTACAGGTGCAGTATCTTTCACTGTGCATCGGTTTTATATGCAGTTGTTTCCTGAATCCACCTTGCATGCTGTACTGAGACTATACAAAGGGAAAAATAAGCCTCCGCTGGAATAGAAACCATTTGTACCTAACAATGCTGAAAGGTTCTGATGATTTTATTAATTCAGAGGAGATTTTAAAAATTCCAACCAAAGGGAGAGACATGAGAAACATTAACTGAAATACAAGGCTGGTCCAGGGCAAGGACTAATCAAGAACTTGACGCAGAACAAAGGATCAGTGTGAAAGCAAAGCCAAAACAAAGTCAACAGAAGATCAATTACTAAAAATTCATATCTGCCCTATATTAAACTTTCTTACTGTGGCTTTACTCTCATTTATCAGGCTACAGTATAATAAAAATAAAAATTTTAAATTTCTTTTACCAACTCAAAGGCTTTGTAAATGAGACAGAATGTAAATAGATAAGACAAAGTCATCTTCTATCAGTAACCTACTTTGCAAGCTTACCATTAGTCGAGCATCTTCTCTTTCCAAAATTTTCTGAGTCTGATCATCAGGGAACTTCAGTACAGTGGTTATAACTTTTGCCATGGTCTATAAGAAAAACAAGAGACGATGACTAATGGACATTAGAGCAGAAGTCTTGACCCATTCTGACATGTTCTGCTGGTGAGATTCTTTAGTGCGCTCAATGGAAGCCACAACCAAAGAAGTATGATGTGAAGGTATCACTCAAGGAAATCACAGCCAACACTAGAACTTCATTTAAAAGGACTCCTCATAATGTCTGGTTGATTTTACTTTAAGAAGATGCATTTACAATAGCATGAAGCTATATAAAGTTCTAATGCTCTTGGCCCTTTATCTTAAGATGAAACTTTATTATTCATTTTATAAGGCTTTTTATTTGTATAAATCTATCTAGTAAGTGATGAATTGCCAAAACATATGCTCTAAATAATCAGAATTAGATACTCCCAAGTTCAGCTTTAACTAAATCACATCATATATCTCATAAACATGGGCTACTGCATGAACATGAACATGCTCAGTTGGTATTTTTAAGACATGCAGCACATCAACCTAATAGAAATACAAATTACATTTTAAATAAACACAAGATGTTTTGTTTGGTAGAAAACATGACGGATCAAACAATTACACATGGTGGCTTGCAAAACAAGATAATAAATTGTGCAGATCTAAATAAATATACCGTAAGTCAGACTGTCACCCATAAGCTCGTGGAAAATTCTCCTCAAAGGCTGAAATTCCCTATTTTGTATCAAGATGAGATGTTTTGAGGGAGACAGAGAGGAAAGAAGATACCACTTATGAAATAAGTAGGACAACACGTTTAGAGCTTACATACACATTCAGGCGCTAGTGCTCTCCTGAGGATTCCTACAGAGAAGGGGAGGATCACCCAGAGAACTGACTCTAACATTCCTTGTTGCTACACAGACTGTGTGTGT